ACAGTTGCACATACTGTATTATTCAGAAATTTAAGATCCATGGGAATGTAGCCAACCTCCCCGGATATGGCCGCAGGAGGAAAATTGATGACAAATCAATGAGACGGATAATACAAATGGTAACGAAAGAGCTCAGAAAAATGTATAAAGAGATTAAAGGTGAACTTCAAGCTCAAGAAACATCAGTGTCAGATCACACCATCCGTCGTGTTTCAGCCAAAGTGCACTCAATGGGACACGACCAAGGAGGACGACCATTGTTGAAAACAAATCATAAAAAAATCCAGACTGGAATTTGCTAAACTACATGTTGACAAGCCACAAAGCTTCAGGGAGAATGTCCTCTGGACAGATGAGATAAAAATGGAACTTTTTGGCAAGGCACATCAGCTCTATGTTTACGGAGGGAAAAATGAAGCATATCAAGAAAAGAACACTGTCCCTACAGTGAAACATGGAGGAGCCTCCGTTATGTTCTGGGCCTGCTTTGCTGCATCTGGCACAGGGGGTCTTGAATCTGTGCAGGTTACAAAGAAATCTCATGACCATTAAAGGTTTCTAGAGAGAAATGTGCTGCCCAGTTTCAGAAAGCTTGGTCTCAGTCACAGCTCATGGGTCTTGCAACAGGACAGCTAAAAACGCTCAAGAATGGCTAAATAGAAAACATTTGACCATTCTGAGGTGGCCTTCTATGAGNGTGACATGTTCGTACGAACCCTTTGTACGAACAAAAGTAAGAGAAATTTAGGATAAGAATATGAACATGTTCTTGCATGAGGCCCAATATCTTTCTGATACTAGTAACTTATGTTTATATGTTTTAAACAAAATTAGTAGCTGACGTCACATTTTGTTCCTTTGCCAGGTGGGAGCCCATTTTCTTGAGACGGTTGTCCGCAAGTTTGACGAAGTGTACAGAAGCTCCTGTGAGGGCAAAGAGTGCGAGAACCTGATCGCCATCGTCGCGCACCTCTACAACTTTCAGGTGGTGCATTCAGTCCTCATCGTCGACATCCTGAAGCTGCTGGTGGGAACCTTTACAGAGAAGGATATCGAGCTGGTTCTGTTCATGCTGAGGAATGTCGGCTTCAGCCTGAGGAAGGACGACGCCCTGGCTCTTAAAGAGCTCATCTCTGAGGCTCAGCGTAAGGCCAGCGACGTGGGGTCAAAGTTCAAGGATCAGACCAGGGTAGGCAAAAGAAAAAATCTTTTTTTTACCTCTTATGTATAGAAAACTGTCACAGCGTGGCATTCGTGTAGGTTACTCACTTGTGTCACATTTGTAAACTTGTCCCAAGGTTCGTTTCATGCTGGAAACCATGTTGGCTTTAAAGAATAACAACATGAGGAAGATCCCAGGATATGATCCTGAACCTGTGGAGAAAATGAGAAAACTGCAGAGGACTCTGGTGGGTGTACTGGGTTTGAGTTTTTGCTTTACATAAGGGGAAATTTTTCAWTCTGGTAGTATCAAACTGTACCACCAGGTGGCCCCAGAGCTCCACCTACACGTGAACAAAACTGTTGGTACCCCTCGTTTGATGAAAGAAAAGCTCATATTGGTCACAGAAATAACTTGAATCTGACAAAGTAATAAAAAATTCTATAAAAATGAACAAATGAAAGTCAGATATTGCTTTTCAGTCATGTTTCAACAGATTTTTTTTTTCAAATAAAACTCATGAAACAGGCCAGACAAAAATGATGGGACCCCTGAAAATAATGTGGCCAAAGGGACATGTTAAATCAAGGTGTGTCCACTAATTAGCATCACAGGTGTCTACACTCTTGTAATCAGTCAGTGGTCCTGTATATAGGGCTACAGATACTCACTTTGCTGTTTRGGGACATGGTGTGGACCACTCTCAACATGGACCAGAGGAAGAGAAGGAAAGAGTTGTCTCAGGAGATTAGAAAGAAAATTATAGACAAGAACGTTAAAGGTAAAGCTTATAAGACCATCTCCAARCAGCTTGATGTTCCTGTGACTACAGTTGCACATACTGTATTATTCAGAAATTTAAGATCCATGGGAATGTAGCCAACCTCCCCGGATATGGCCGCAGGAGGAAAATTGATGACAAATCAATGAGACGGATAATACAAATGGTAACGAAAGAGCTCAGAAAAAYGTATAAAGAGATTAAAGGTGAACTTCAAGCTCAAGAAACATCAGTGTCAGATCACACCATCCGTCGTGTTTCAGCCAAAGTGCACTCAATGGGACACGACCAAGGAGGACGACCATTGTTGAAAACAAATCATAAAAAAATCCAGACTGGAATTTGCTAAACTACATGTTGACAAGCCACAAAGCTTCAGGGAGAATGTCCTCTGGACAGATGAGATAAAAATGGAACTTTTTGGCAAGGCACATCAGCTCTATGTTTACGGAGGGAAAAATGAAGCATATCAAGAAAAGAACACTGTCCCTACAGTGAAACATGGAGGAGCCTCCGTTATGTTCTGGGCCTGCTTTGCTGCATCTGGCACAGGGGGTCTTGAATCTGTGCAGGTTACAAAGAAATCTCATGACCATYAAAGGTTTCTAGAGAGAAATGTGCTGCCCAGTTTCAGAAAGCTTGGTCTCAGTCACAGCTCATGGGTCTTGCAACAGGACAGCTAAAAACGCTCAAGAATGGCTAAATAGAAAACATTTGACCATTCTGAGGTGGCCTTCTATGAGCCCTGACCTAAATCCCATTGAGCATCTTTGGAAGGAGCTGAAACATGCTGTCTGGAAAAAGCACCCTTCAAACCTGAGACAACTGGAGCAGTTCGCTCATGAGATTCAGATTCAGGTTCAGTTTCAGATTTATTCGGGTCCCAAAAGGGGCAATTAATGTTACAGCAAGTGCATAGTACTTACACATACAAAGACATAATAAAAAAGTTCCAAAAGTTAAAAAAACATGTATACCAAAATTTTTAAAAGGTTATAACAAATAAGATACAATACAGTGCGCCAAAACACAACAAATATAAATCAGTGAACAGTTACTGCCAACATTGGTATCATTGGTAACAAGGAGCCCCAACATTCAGATGCAAGTCCTCCTACTTTGTCCTGCATTAAAAAGAGAAATGGCTATAGGGATGAATGAATACTTGTACCTGTTATTTCTGTTACCATTGTGGGTTTTTCTTTCATTAAACGATGGGTACCAACAATTTTATCCACATGTAAGAGGCCTTTCTTCATTCTGTTTTGTACCTTTTTACTATGAGTTTATGTGACCAGTTCTTGGTGATTGTGTGATGCTTAGATCCACAACAGTTCAGCAGGCAGTGACCTGAAACTGAGGGTCTCTTTGGAAAACCTCTTGAAAGCAGAGAAGGTGGGCCGCTGGTGGATCGTTGGCTCATCGTGGAGTGGAGCCCCCATGATCAGCAAGCAAGAAGACGCAACCTCACAGAAGAGGACTGCTGAAGGACAGGTGGGGGCGCGGTATCACAGCAAACTGAGAGACCCACCAATTCAGAAAGTCATCTTTTGGCTGTTAACATGTGCATGGTTTAAGAAATATCGTATTTTATCATTGATTTCTTTTAGTAACACATTGATCTTCATAGTGTCAAAAACAAGCTCATTTACTTTAATGGCGAAATTATCCTGCAGGCTTGGATCACAGTGATTTTGATTGGCAGTTGTAATCTTCCTTCTCCTTCAGTTCAGCAGCAAAGTCCTGGAGCTGGCCCGGAAACAGAGGATGAACACAGAGGTCAGGAGGAACATCTTCTGCGCTCTGATGACCAGTGAGGATTATCTGGATGCTTTTGAGAAACTGTTGAGGTTTGTTTATGTTTTTAAAACTTATCAAATCAACAACGTTATTTCTAGAGGATCTAAATCCACATGTATAGATTATTATTTTTATTTTAGTGTTTGCTTGTTTTTTTGTCTGTATGAAGGATGGGTCTGAAAGACAAGCAAGAACGGGAGATTGTTCATGTTCTGATGGACTGCTGTCTGCAGGAGAAAAGCTTTAATGCGTTTTATGCCGTGCTCGGAGAAAAGTTCTGCCTCCAYGATCGCCGCTTCCAGGTACTGTAACTGAGAATAAATACTAATATAATTAGGAAGTAAAGTTTATGTATGTAGCAACTTTCATAGATAGAAAATCACAAAGTACTCCACAATAAAAGCAAGACTATGTTTATCACATCACATTTATAAAAGTACAACATATTAAAAAAAACAACTTAGATGTTTTTTTAAAGCATTGATAGAATCAAGGCTGTGTAYAGATTGGGGCAGTGCTTTCYACAGTTGGGGTGCAGCTGCTAGGAAAGTTTTACAAACTTGTTCATCCTTTTAAAATTTTATTGTAAAAACGTTATCGAAGAAGTTGAGCATCAAAATCAGGGCTTTTTATTGCTTTTTAATGATTGTCTACTGATGTGATCTGAGTGGCCTTCAGTTCACCTCTGCAGTGTGGGAGCTTCTAACACCTCGTCTTCCGGTTTAACTCAAACTGTGACTACAAACAAAGAGGCAGAGAACACACATGAAAGCCTCGTAGGCCACCAGCTCATATCAGAGACCGCTGGCCATTGTCCTCATCAAAGAGATCAAGTTGGCGTTGCTGGGAATGTTTGCTGTTCACGTGTAAACCGGATGAGAGAGTCACCTTTATAAAACGGTTACCTAATAGGTCAACAACTGTTTCTTAATCATCCTTTTTCTTTAAATTAAGTAAAAGGATTGTTCAAAGTTTAATTTACCATCAAGAGTGAATTATTCACGGTTTGAGCATGCAAAGTGTTCAAATGTGAGGAATATATATTTTGAGGCACTATTCTTCCCAAATGGCTTTAATTAATGTCTGTTTTTAATCAGTTAATTTAGATCAGTTCTGACAAATTCCCTCAGTATGACAGATTATCAAATCAAGACAGTGATGAACCAATATTTTCTGATGTATTTTGTGACATTACAGTTTTTGTCTGTCTGGATATTCTAGCCTGGTAAAAACCAGACCCTTGTCCTTCGCTTTGCTTCATACGAGGGTCTGGACTCTCGGCCATAGAGAAGCGATTCTTGCTGGAGGCGGAGCCTCTGCTGAAGTTTAAAATGATTGGATCGGTTGGCGGCGACATATGTGTGCCAGCTCCACTGTGAAGGAGGCTAAGCTAAGAAGCTAACCGGAAATTGCGTGCGCTGTAAACAACCCTACTGAGAGGAGAGAAGTACAGAGCTGAACAAGACGACTGTAAATGAGAGCTGCTGCTTTGTCAAACAAATTTATTTTAATTTGGAAGCCTTATCAACACGGACTTGCTTCATTCACTTCCTCCACTGCTGTATGCTAAACTAACTAGCAGACACTGCGCAGAAAATCAACATCGTTCAAAACTCCGCCTTCTGTTTGCTGATTGGCCCAGGTAAAATAAACTACAAGCAGACACTGTGCAGAAAATCTAAGTTCTGTTCTCTGATTGGCCCGGACGAAAATTCTCCCGATGAAATCCTTGTCTCTGGGAGAAGTCCCAGACGGAGCAGTGAAGGGAAACTAGAATTGAGCGACACTGTGTAGGAAGGCAAGGGCCAGGCTAGGATATTCTAGTGGATTTTATTTTATTTTATTTTATTTTTCCTTCAGTTTCTTATAAAATAACATTTGGCACCAACATATTTTTTCTGTTCAGGATTTTCAATTTTTGCATTTTCATAGTAAATATAGAAACATGACAGCACTTATTGTAGGTCACAAATATTAAAAATACTGTATTTTATCATTTGTAAAGTTAGTGAATACTCATATTTTAAAAATCTACACTGATATTTTCACTTTAGTTGTTAATCCAATGTTGAGAGTATTTAGGAGGATAAAGCATCACAATTTATGACCCTGCTGGTATTTTTACTTATTCAATCTCCTTTTCTATAACAAAGCACACGATTGTGATACAACTTTATGATTCATTCATTTTTGTTAGTTCGTTACAGTGTTGTTACCAACAATCTGTTTAATGGTTATTTAATACACTCTACTTTGACACATAAAAAAATAGATTAGTTTTGTATACAACATGGATCTACTTCACTAAACTCACTGTGGATACTAACAATAGCAGTATGTGAGGGTAATTCAATTAATCGCAACATTTTGAGGCAAAGCTGTATTTATTTAGTTTAGTTTATTAATAAATGTCTGTGTTTTTAGATGACCTTCCAGTTCAGCCTGTGGGACAAGTTCAGGGAGCTGGCCAACCTTCCAAGCTGCTCCTTTAACAACCTGGTCCAGCTGGTGACCTGCTTTCTTCAGAGGAAGTGCCTCTCGCTCTCCATTCTCAAAGTGAGTAAATAAAACAGCTTATCGTGGCGCAGCCACCTCCGTGTTTCCTCAGTCAGTGACGTAAATTCATCAAAAGATATTCTTTAACCTGCGCAATGTCCTTGTAGGTGATAGAGTTTGGGGAACTGAATAAACCAACAGTTCGCTTCTTGCGACAAGTGCTGACCAAACTGCTAAAAGAAACAGATCCTGATGAGCTGGTCAGCATATTTGGGAGGTAAGGATTCTTTATTCTCCCGTGTTTTTGAGACTTTTTTTCCCAGCTATCATTATTTTTACAATATTAAACAGTGAAAACACAGAGTACAACCATGACAACAATCATCAGAGGGTCTGATTTGATACGGTACAAATTAAAAATGTGACTCATCACTCTGAACCGAGGATTAAGACCCAAAGTGGTTGTGGAGAAATGGGAAGCTTGGTTAAAACGTTTGCAACAATTGTATTTTGTCAAAATATAATGTTTTTTGTGGGTAGTTTAAATGAAATATCTAAAATCTAATCTTAAAGAGTTTTTGATGCCTTTTTTAAGTAGTAGTTACAAATTATGGTTTTGAGCAGAAAAGCTTTTTATTTTTTGTCATTTTTCTCTGTGAGTTAGCTAAGTTTATTTTATTTATTTACCTTTTCCCAGCTGGTACTGTTTAAGGTTACATTTTAAAAATGACATCAAAAATTCCTCATTAGAATAAGCTAAAAACAGGATTCAGATCAAATACCAGTGAGTTGTCCTGATTAGGGCGACAAATCAAGGCATATCTGTGAGCCACTCATATCATGAATAATCCAGGTATGTAGCTTTAAAAAACAGAAATCTAAAAATGTGTTTTAAATTTGACCAAATTGTCAGATTTATTGCCATCTGGATCAGAATGGTTTAAAAAGCTGAATCATCACAAATCATTGCTGCTAATATGTCTGAAAGATCTATTGTACTTTATGAGCAATATAACTTGTCAAAGTGCTCATCTCATTGAAAATCTAAAACCAAGTCTTTGTTCCTCTTTGTTTATCATCCACCAGGATTTCAGGAATTCCCAATCTTGGAATGCTGCGGGAAGGAATGAAGCTTTTCATCAGTCACTTCCTCCTGAAGAACGCCTCGTCGCAGGGACCAGCTGAGCAAGCAGCAGTTCTGTCGGAGCGCGCCCAGATCGCCACCAAAGCTATGGAGGCAAAAGAGACCAAGCTCAAACTGTAAAACGCACACACACCTCAGGAAGCTAAAACGTTGTGAAACAAAAGGAGGCTTATGAGGACACGACTCCTCCAAAATCAAACAAAAATGACAAATTTTAATCTTTTTTAACAGCATATTTGTTAAAGTCTACTGTATAATATTTGAATATTAAACTTACTGCCTTTGCTATGAATAACTCGGTGATGATTTGTTTCAAACATTATTAAGGCTGGTCGTTTTTTTTCTCTCATTTGTTAATAAAAACAGGAAGACATGCCTCACCAGATAAATACATATTTGAAAGGTTTTTTGTTTTTCCTCATTAACTGAAAACAATAAACAGGTTTTTCCTAAATCATTAAACTTGTCTTTTTTCCCCCAAGACTTCTTGGAGTCCAACTGTTATCATTCATGGATTTTTATTTGTTTGACTTGACTAGCTTTAAAAAAAAGTATAAAGCAAATTTAATTTAAACTATATTCAGTGTAAAAAATCCGCCTGTTTAACTGTTTTGTTTTTTTTTTGTATTTTTTTTTTCTCTTGCACATGAGGAACAGTTAAATGTTTACCCACCCTGGTGAAATGACCCGGGGACACTGAATCTGGCCTGCTCTGTTTGCTCGCCGACACCAGGATATATTCCCACATGGCGAACATAGCGGAGTCATTCTGTTACATTTGATACTTGCTCCTATTAATTAGCTCTGTTGGCGTGACCTGTATCTGTGTTCAAGCCAGAGCGTGGGTGGCCCGGGGTCAAGAATTGGTCACAAAGGTCACCGAAACGTTCATCACTGGTTTACTGAGCAGTCTGCTGCTTGATGGAGCTCCGAGGTGTTTTCTGGAGATTTCAAAATGCAGCAGTGTTTAATTTGCTCAAGGACTCAAACCTATTCAGTTAAAAACAATTTTGATTAAAAAAAACAGGTAATTTACCCCTGTCAAAATTCTCCTGGTTATAGACGAGCAAACGTCTACAAAGCTGAGGGAAAGCGATTCCTTTAAGTTTACCTGGTGACCCTCAGTTGAACTTTAATTCAGTCTGCTAAAGCAAACAGATGGAGATAACCAACAGATCACTCAGTAATCCTGTTACACATCACATGAAATCACTCAAATGCTGCTGTCAAATAACGTTGATCACAGTAACATGAAAAACAGGTGAGTCGGGTTCTTGTGCTGAATAATGAGCAACACACTGAAATCATCTTATGTTTTAGAAAACAAGGTTATAGTCATTTTGGTAAAATTTAGAAAATAATGTGCAGCTTTTTGTGAGATTACATTTTAAGCCTGTGTCATGAATAACTCAGCTACTACCACATCCGATTTGAGCTCAATACTCTATCTGCAGTTGATTAGTTACACACATTTTAGCTTATTGTGGTGCCCATTTCAGCCAAATCATCTTCAAAATCTAATCATTTGTAAATAATCATCCAGTGAACAATCTCTGAGGGTTTTGTTAAAATCAAATTGGTGGTTTATTTGATATTTTGCTAACAGGTTGATAGAATCGACCCCAACAGGTATTACTGAAGTTTTAAGCAAAGTTTTTGCACACTGAGTAAATTTTTGAAGTGTTTGTTGTGGAAAACCTCTCAGCCGCAGCCTTGCCAAATTTTAGGTCAATATACCCAAAATGGACAGAATTATGGCAATTTTTGTGTCAATTAAGGTCAGCTGGCTGCAGTGGATATCTTTAATTGAGTTGGGTCCAAAAGTTAATCAGTTGTAGATGCACATCCAATGATTATCTCCTGAAGGTTTCATTAAAATGCGCGCAGTAGATTAAGACATACTTTGTGAACAGACACACACACTTCAATTTTTCTCAAACAGCTTGTGCCAAAGCGCGGACCTGCTTCATTTGAGTAGTGACATTTAAATAAATCTCACAGCATTGTAATATAGTTTATTTTTCTCATGACATTTTGAAAGTGCCCTGCAGAAACCAAAGTGTTGCTCCTTTTTTAAAACTTGTGACTAAGAGGAGCCTGTTGCTGCTGTGGTGTGAAATGTTTCCTCTGTCTGCCTGACGCTCGCTGTTTGCTCTCACTGCACGTTTGCACAGATCCGACAGCGCATTTAACAGTAATTCCCATGACCCGAGCTGTCAGAGCGAGGAGAAGAAACACACGGCTCCAACACCGCCAGTAAATCATCAATCCGGGAACAATATTCCTTTAAAACAGAAAGAAATGCGCCAATATCTGAATCTAAAGCATGTATTTTTCTTTTTTTGAAAAATGTTTTATTACACTTTCTTTGCGGCAAGAAATCATATTTTTCCATGCATTGGTAGGAGCGATTAAGAAATACAGAATGGAAATAAAAATGTTACGCGTTATTTGACGCACTGCTGTTAATTTAAACAGAACGACTGCTGCTGAGACTTTATTAATCCTGATCCTTTCCAGCTCCATGCAGCCTGCTCCTGCTGGGTAAGAAAACTGCAATCTCTTGCTTTATTGTTTGACAACAGAGTCTATTTTGAACGGTTTTTTTCCCCCCGCCCCATAACAAAAATCTCGCTTTACATGCAGCTGTATTTGACAGCGAACCTCCCCCACCCTCCTCTTCCTCTGTCCTGGATCTTCGCCCCGTGTTTTTGCTTCAGGGTTGCGGGCTGATGTCGCTGTTGTGATGCCGCTCGTCGTCCGAGGAGCACTCCGAGGAGTTGTAGAGGAAGCTGTCGCCCTCCTCCTCCTCGTCGCTGTCCCTGAAATCTCGGATTCTGCCGTTTTTTGAGTCCGTTTTGCTGTGATAATCCGACTGTTCGAGTCCGTCGGCTTTTTCCTGGCCGCTCTTGGTGCCTTTCTGCTTCTCGGCCTCCTGGGCGGCCTGCTCTTTGGCCTTCTTGCTCCTCTTCCATTTCATGCGTCTGTTCTGGAACCAGATTTTAACCTGGGGAGAAGGGAGAGGGACGGATTAATTCCGGATTAATTCACTGAGCCATCGTGCAACACCAATAACTGTCAGACGGTGCACCTTGTTGTAGTATCAGCCTCCACATTTTTTTATTTTATTTATTCTCTCCCTTTAAAGGATGCTGTTTTTCGTTCTTCTTTTATGTCTTGTCTTCTTAATTTTATTTATTTATTTATTTATTTATTTATTTATTTATTTATTTATTTATTTATTTATAAAATGTTTCTAAGAATAACATTAAATCAATTCATCAGATTTCCCTCTGGGATCAATAAAGTATTTTTGAATTTGACTTTGAATCGAAATAGGCGCTAATGGTGCGTAACCGTGCGTAAAGGTCACCAATCCTCCTGATTCTGGGGGTTTTCGATGGTGTAATCACTAGAAACTTGGTTGTTTTTTAAAATCAATATAAGTTGAAAATATATTTTAAACTTCCCGACCCCGGATAGGCGGAAGAAAATGGATGGATGGATGGATGGATGGATGGATGGATGGATGGATGGATGGATG